CAATTTCACCAATTTCATCCTCTTTTTTTCTAGTCTTATTGGGTGGTGGAGGTTAATTTTTTGGCGGGGTTTATCTGGAAAAGATCCTATGAAAATAATAAATCGAACGGAAAACATGGTGTCCTGATAGGGCAAGTGATGATACGAAGGAACAAATTACCGTCTTTTCCCTCATTGTTGCCGAGAGTTCATCACGAACGCGACGCAATTCCGCTTCGATCGCATCCGCTCGTGCATTCGCTTGCGTGGCCGCCTGACGAGCATCTGCCGCCTGGAGCCGTTGGGTTTCAGCTTGTGAGCGCACATGACCAGTCAGGCGTGTTTCTTGTTCCAACTCGGCCAGACGGTCCACCAGGACTTTGTTGTCTGTTTCCAATTTGGCGCAACGCACTCTCAGCTCCACTGCCTCGTCCGCTCGTTTGCGTAACTGGTCCATTGTGGTTGTCAGATGAGAAGCTGCGGCAAGTTCCTCACGAGCTATGTCTAATTCGTCTTTCAAATGAACAGCTTCCTCGGATTTACGCATTAAGAGCTCGCACTGAGTGGACAAAAGTGGGGAACACCTGGTTGAAATAAAGCTCCGTATAGACGGCAAAAACAGAGGATTCGGGCGACATGAAGCGATAAACGAATAGGTGGCTTACAAAAGGAGACCCCCATAGTTAGACAGCTCCCGCTGCCGTCCGAGTAAGCACCATGGCCCAAGCCTATGGGAACCTGATGCCATTTACCACTCAAAACTCCCGGCTGGAGTTGCGCTTGTATTTGTTGCTATCTGAAACCTAGTTTTGCTTGCACTATATCATTTATTACATTCCATTTTTTGTTGAATTCCAACACATATATTCCATGTCCGCAGAAACAGGGCTTATGAGAGTCCAGTCCAGTTCACCACTGCTACCTCTCGTTTGGGTTGCCAGCTTATCACCTTAGTTCCCCTTTTCCATCCGTCTTGCTTCACCTGGCTACCTACGTCAGGCAGCCGTATCAGTTCAGGTGGTCTCGCGAACGATGATATTTCCATCCGGATAGGGAAGGCCAGAGCGGCTTTTGTGAACCTACGTCACCTGTGGCGTAGGCGTGACATCAGCTTCTCTGTCAAGGGTCGAGTTTACAATGCTGCGGTGCGCTCCATATTACTATATGGATCAGAAACCTGGCCGCTGCGCGCCGAGGACGTCAAAAGACTT